CACAGCTGCTGTTTGCACCCCACAGGCCTCCCTCCTGCAACCACGGAGCCCAGTCTGAGCCTGTGAGGAGCAGCAGGAGCTGTGGATGGAGGTAACTCCACATACCTGCCTGTGCTCCACGTTCCAGCACCTTGGTCCAGCGGCCCCAGACCAGCTCAGCCCCACAGCTGTAGGAGAGATTGTGACAAGAACATGCCAGGGAGTAGATGCTTTTGGCAACTAATTAATTTGCCTATGTAGATTTTAAGAGATTGGGGTTCTTTCTTATGACTTCTTACTGTAAAAGCTAAACTCCCTGCCAGATGTGCCCATGTCCCACTCCAGCAGGACCCTGCACCCAGCCGCAGGCTGCTCTCCCCTGGCTGCCCTCTGAGCCTTGTGTCCTGCCGCAGCAGAGCTCCAGTGCTGTGGAACAGGGCCCTGGGTTTGCCGTGACTCGACCAGCCACACCACCTCCTGCCTTGTCCCCTCCAGTGCTGCAGCAGCTAGGCAGGAGGAGCAGCGGGTTGGGAACTGGCAGGACCGGGAAACCCAGCAGTCACTCATGGAGAGACACCAGGGACTTCTGCTGGGCATAGCCAAGCGGCGCCCCAGGCCAGCAGCCCCAGGGAATCCCCAGGGATGCTCCCGCAGAGCCAGGGTGTTGTCTGCTGCTCCTCTGGGCTCCTGGTGATCCAGTGTGCAGCCAACAGCTCCATCCCGCCCTCCTTGCCTGCAGCCACTTCTCCTGGAGGTGATGGCTTGGCGTACGAAATACTTCCTCGGGTGGGTGGGAGAAGAGAGCACAGCACACGGCTGCAGAAAGAGCTTCAGGCAGGATGGAGGCTGTTCATACCCCAGAGGAGAGAGGAAGTAGAGCTCTTACCCTGCCCAGATAGGGCTCTTCCCCTCCAGCCAGCACTTGGTAGCTGCTCTGCTTCAGCTCATTACTCATCCCCGCTCCTCAAGGTGACAGCTGTTTTGCAGGGAGCTTCACAAGCTGGAGTAACTACTAGAGACTGCATCACAGAAAAAGTGAGGTTGGGAGGACCTCTGGAGGTCTCCAGTCCAACCTCCTGCTCCAAGTAGGGCTGGCTGCATAGTTAGAGCAGGTCACTCAGGTCCTTGCCCTGTCCTTCTGAAAACCTCCACGGATGGAGGTGCCACCACCTCTCCAGACCCATCCCAGGGCTGCAGCATCCTCCCGGGGAAGACGTTTTCCCTTACGTCCAGTCAGTGTTTCCCACGTCACCACCTATAGCCACCTGCCCTTCCCTGAGTCCCTCTGAGAAGATCCTAGCTCCACACTGATCCCCAAAATCCAGAACAACTTATCACAAATATTACGAGCAGAGCCACAAGGATTCCCCATCGCCCCTAAACACCACGAAGCAAATCCCCAGTAAGGAGCAAAGCTGTGGGGATGAGCAGAGCATGTACCTTGCAGCTGCAACAGCCTTCAGCACCCAAGTCCAGCTTTCTGGTAGAAACTGAGTCATAGAATCATAGAACAGTTTTGGCTGGAAGGGTCCTCTTGATTTGAAAGAGAACTTAGCAGTGACATTTGAAATGTATTTGTCAGAATTGTCCAAGTGAGTTTCTAAATCTCATCTCTTCTTGATAAATGCCATAGGATGGGAGATGACTTTCAGGCTAAGTTTTGTCCTGTGCTGACACTGGGTTTGTGATAGTTCACAGCACTGCTTGCAGCACTGGCTGCAGTCCTTGTGCAGGAAAACAAGTGATTCTGTGGTCAAGATGCCAGCTAGCAGCCGTCTTGCCCAGGAAGTACATCAAGAGATCAACACAAACCCTGGCCTGCCAGTTTGTCTTGGGATTTTTCCTTTCGTTGTTGTCTTGCTTAGATCATTTTTCACTGTTTGCCCTTCTGAGCAGCCTACCCCAGCCTTACCTTAAGCTGCCAAATACAAGGTGACCCTGGGCAGGGCTCTCTGGCAGTTCGTCAGCGGCTGTCATGTCCTTGCAAGCTGCTGGGTCTCTGCTCCCTGCCTGCGCGTTGGTATTTGCTGTGCACGCTGCAGCCGTGCTCGGGAGCCTCGTAGCGGCTGGGAAAAAAGTGGCCTGGCCTCGGGCCAGAAGCTGGTGACCTCTGCTGAAGCCCGACGTGGTGCCCAGGTCCGAGCTGTGCTGAGTAGCCAGGGCCCTTCCCTTGGTCTGGGGCAGATTTTCAGCCTCAAGCTGACAGAACCCAACCTGCACCCCCAGGGTTTGTGGCACCTGTGTCTTCCTGGAAATGCGTTGTCATGGCAAACTATCAGCTCCTCCAATTCCCTTTGTCAGGGCAACAAAAGAAACCAGTACCTGCTGGGCTGAGCCGACCTGGATGGGCAAAACCCACCACTATCCAAGGGAATCTAGCTGTCTGTCTGTGGTCAGAGCTGCAAATGAACCAGCAGAAAACCAGGACAAGTCTAACACCAGGCCCTGAGCTATTCCTCCACTTCCTCAAGGTAACCTGGCTGGCGGTATCGGAGCCCAAACTATCCCAAATGCTGCACAGGGGCTCCCTCCCCGCACCAAGATATTTGCTACCCCGCCCAGCAGCAGGGCAAACCAGCCCCGCATGCTTGCGGCGCCCCTGGTCTGAAGGAGAGCTTTGTTTCCCTCAAGCCAGCAGAGCCCCTCCATGACAGCGCATCCTGGCAGGGACACTCCCGGCCACATCCGATACAGGTGTAGACAAAGGAGCATGGGGAAGGTTTCTCGACAAAGGCAGGATGAAGGAATGCAGGGCTCCAACTCAGCAGTCAAGATTAAAAACCATGTTCCCAATAGCTTCGTCACGGAGAAGGTCCTGCAGCTCCTCTTGCACTGTTACGGTGCCCCCATTAGCATCCTCCCCCCTCAGCGGGACGGCAGCTCCCCCCAGGTCCGGCCAAAAACTTCAGTTACCCCTCATCACCCACCAAACCTTCCCAAGGCAGCAGATCCCGCAGACTGGGCATGCACGATGAGCGGCACCAAAGAACAGTCAACACTTGAAGGACAGGCAATGCCAGTGGCATGGCTGGGAGGACGTCTGGTCAGAGCTCTCCCCGAGACACGCAGCAGCACACCACTGCAGCATTCCTTTTACTTAACTAAAACCTACCAGCCTGCAGTACAGAGAAGCAGCTGGTAATTGCCCACTTGGCCATCCCAGACAGCCCCCTTGTCGCTGGGGAGCTGTGAAGCACTTGGGGACCCTAGAGAGCTGCGGGCAGGATCTGAGCAGGCACCCGCCATGCTCTGCCATAGCTGCACTGGCCCAAGGGGCCAGACCCACACCAGTACGTTCCAGTAAAGCTACAGCAGGGAGCCAGGACTGAGCCCCAGTCTGGAGCTCTCTGAGAGCTGCATTAAAATGCATGAGCTGTGCTAGCCCTAATGATGAGCAGAGCTGTCAAACAAGGAGCTTGTCCCAGCTAATTATCTCTAACGAGGGCAGAGTATCCGGGTCCCCGAGGAGCTGGGCAGCAGCTTCCCACTCAGCTCAGTTGCAGGACAGGAAGAAGATAAGCAAATGTCATTGTGCTGGCCTAGCTACAAAATCATTAATTAGGCAAATGTGACCTTCTGTGCCGGTTTGCTCTTGAGAACCTGGATTTGCTGGAGCCAAGACGTACGGTCAGGCTGGGAACACAGCAGCTTTTGCCACCCAACCTATTCCCTGCAGAGACGGCACAGCCCCAGTCTGGCAGCCCCTGACCTCTCGGCCCTGCCACTCAGGGGCTGCGCTGCTTTGACATACTCACCTGGGGGCTCAAATACCCCTGGCGAGGGCTCCGCCCCAAACCCCAGCCCAAAAAGCAGCAGAGAAGTCACAAAATGTCACCATTTAGATTCAATTCACCTCAGCCACCTCACTCACCCCCTAGCACAGCCCTGCAGAGGCTCCGTGCCCACCCAGCAACCACCTCTGCAGCACCTCTCCCCCAAATCTTTTAAGGCAGACTTTAAGGCACTGGGAAATTCCGGTCCTACTTCATTCCAGTGCAGAGGGGACCTGTCACATGCTGCTCCACAAGTCCATTTTCTCTCTCATCACGGGTCCGGTGGCTCAGAAACCAAGCCAGTACACTTGCCCTTATGTGCTAGAGGGGGAGCATTTCTCGACTGAAGATTTGATTAAGGCGAAGTCTCTTCTGGGGGCACACGACAATCCAGAGATACGGCTTCACATGAGGACCACCCTGTGAGCTCTGCATTTGTCCCTCACCTCAGATCTGAAGGGAAACGGAGGAAAGGCTGTTTTCTCTCCAGACAGAAATCAACTGCAGGACACTAAGCTTTCAGATGACCCCAACGACACACAGAGCTGTTCACTAACATGTCATTATGGTAAGAGCTTTTCAGTCCCTGGTTGCCACAGGAGCAAAGGCTTGAACATCCGCTTCAGCTACGTTTTTACAAAACAAAAGGTTTAGGAGTCACCAGCTTTAAATAGAAACAGCACTGGAACCCAAGGGGTTAGAGTGAGCTGTACCATCAGCAACTCCGGCTGGGGAGCTCAGCCCCACCTGCTGGCAGGCAGCCCTTGAGGCAGGGGTTTGGGGTCCTGCTTTCAGGGCACAATCGTCTCTCTTGGAGAAGGCTTGGGACTGGTGCAAGATACAGCACTGCTGTGTCTCGCCGGCCCTGCTATCATACACTAATGACCAACGAGCATCAGAGAGAAGTTTACTGATATTTCCAAAATGCGTATTTCAATTTATACCGTGATCAAGCTCTCAACAGTAGCCAACTGCTTGTGCAGGCAGAAGCAGCACATTACATGAGTCTTAAAAGATGACTTTCAGGGGCCACAGGACAGAATTTCTTCCTTCAGCCTACAGGAACGGTTCCTCACTGAGTCTGGGCTGCCATCAGACTTCAGCAACTGCACCACGCTCCTCATGTGGCCCCTCCCACACCAGCGTGGCTCAGGCAGGAGGCTCACTGAACCCCACAGCTTGATCTGCAGCAGGGGGTTTGTTCCAAAGGTTTCCTCTACTGCTTCTGTACTGCCTGTTCTTTCAGTTGGTTGACAAGCTCTTCAGCGTACACCTTAAAGAGTGGGACAGGGTCCTGAAACAAAGCAGAGGATAAACCACTTAAAAGGAGTGAATCCAGCAGCAAGGGCTAATGGAGAGCCCATGGAGGCAGTGCTGCAGGAGTGCAAACCGTTAAAATCAGAAGATCCATCCGGTTTTTTTTTTAACAAGGGAAGCTGCTATGCTACTCCTCCAGATAGAGCTGCTGCTCAGCTCTGGAACCTTCCTCACAGAGGACAGGCACTAGTATAGGGCATCCATCAGCTTTTCCACTTCTGCAGATGAGACTCCTCTGTAGCTCCCAGGGATCCCTTTCCTTCTAAAAATGCTTCCCCCTGCTCCTCACGTCACCCTGGCCCAGCACTGCCTCATGTAGTCAGTGCTCCTGACCTTCCCCTTCCTGCCACGGCCACAAGGGGAGCCAACAGGTCTGAAGAAACACCACCCAGAGACCCCACCACCCCAGGAAGCCCTTCTGCCCCAGCAGCTCTCTGGTGCAACCTCTGCGTCTCACAGGCCGCAGTGACAAAGGGCTGCAAGCTGGGCAGGCCCTGAGCTCCTACCCACGTGTCCTGAAGCACGAATTTGGCAGACAGCAACCCTCTGGTTGCAAGGATGTTCGTGCAAGAGGGCATTAGGTTATAAGCCAACGTACTTTAACCCAGCCCCAGGTTCTGGGCACCCAAACTTAAATCAGTTTCACAGGTGGCTGCTCAGGAGTCTCACTTCTGTCACTCAGGAGTGCTCAGGCTGTTCAGATCAGCTGGATGTGCAGCCTGATGCAGCTAAGACACCCTGGTGCAAAGCAGTACCTCAGGAACTCACCTTTTTTTCTAGGAGCCTCTGTTTTTCTATCGCTTCTTCTAAACTCAAGCCCACCCACTCAGCTTCCTCTTCTGGGATCACAAACTCCTGTGATAGAAGAAGGAGCAGGTGTTAGAGTCTTTCCGGGTGACTACGGTGTAAATCCTCTCTGTGCCCAACTGCCACAAACATGTGACCCAGTAGAAGCATTACTACAGCCAAGTCTCAATACTGTTCCCTCATTTCTGGCAACCAAAGTCCACTTCTCTTCTCTCCTTTTCCCTTAGTGAGAGTCCTGCCCTCTCTCATCAGGCACGTCCACTGCTGTGCCACTCCTCTGTGTAGTGCTGGGGCTGTTTCTCAGCACAGCTCCAAGGACCACGGGTGCTGGCAGCCACGCACAAAACCAAACTGCACGTGGGGAGCCTGGGCTCCTTGCTGCACCATCAGTACAAATTCTCACTGCTGCCAGCAGTGCCAGCTCCTGCTTGTTTCAGACCCTCAGCAATCTCAGTCAGAGCAAACCCACAAGCTTTTGTCCTCCTGGATGACCAGAAATCAGCACCCCACAGAAAGACAAGCAAATCGTAACAAATGACTTAGATCTTCTCTGGCCATAGCCTTAATCCTAAATTAACACTGGTTTGCACTGTGTCAGGGTGTTATGAGTTTGGACAACCAGCAAACCTCACTGCAGACACCAGGACTCTCACCTTGTATTTATTATAGATAGCCTCTCTCTTGGCTGGATCATCAGGATGCAGCTTAGGATCCCGTCGGGCAAGTCGCAGCAGCATCGTTCGCTTCAGATCCATCCCGAGCTTCGAGCACATGTCAGCTTTTGGAGTCTGGAAAAATAAAACCTCACTTTGAACTGCACTGAGAGACCTGGCTGCTAGAGAACAGAGTCCATCAGCACACAGACAATGCTCGTGGCTTATCCACACGCTGTAGAAGCTCTTGGGATGCGCACTATGGAAGGGGAAAAGATGCCTGGAATCTTTCTGGAGCTTGTTTGATCACAGTTCAGACCTGCACTAACACATTAATAGCCCCTGGGGAAGAGAAGCCGCCTGGCCAAGTCCCGCTGAGAGAGTAAGAAAGTCGAGTGTCTTTACAAATGAGTGACAGAACAAGAAGGGGAGAGTGTTTTTTCTCCTGTTAGTGATGGAACAAAGAGGAGAGTGTCCTTCGTGAATGAGGGAGTCCCAGGATGCCGTCTGTGAGGAGAAGAAAATGAGACACCTGGACCATTAGGGCTATTAATTA